TTAAGGTGAGATTATACACCAAAAACATGTAAAAATGTTTATTTGATGGTGGTAATCCATGACCCAAACATTAAAACTCAAAAAGATAGGTAGAGTTATGATTTTATGTGAGTTTATTTCTTAAAAACCTTATATTTTGGTGCTGACAGATTATGTACATGTGCACAAATCGTTCATATCATGTAAATGGCTTGTTCAAATGTTATGAGGTTTCTTCTAAAAGTTTATTTATTGAGTTGGGGTTGTAATACAATTGGTGTCACTCAAAAACATTGAGTTTTGATCCCCCAAATGCTCAAAACATTGTATATGTGCATCTGAGAGTTTTTCAGTAGGTAAACCCTACTTTGAACAGCCATAACTCTCTATATAATTATCCAAAATTGTTGATTTTTCTTCTGAATGTTATTTTAATGAGTTACCTTTCAAATGCCACCGATTTCATTCAATATTGTGGTGATTTGAGTTTTTAATTACTCAAAATAAGATGAACATGCAATCTGTCCGATTCTGACAGATTTGTATATGTGTGTTCCATCGACCTTATCTCTTTCAAACCTCGATGAAAAAGGATGATTCTTCTTTTGAGAGTTAACTTTATGGGTTATCTCCTACATGCAAGTGGAATCACATGAAATTATGGAGTTTTGATCTCCAAGCACCTAAAACACTATAGGTGTGCAAACTGTGAAACCACCAGTAGGCAACTCTTACTTTGAATGCTAATATCTTTCTACTTACTTTTTATTAATGTATAATTATTCTTCTAAAATGTTATTTTATGAGTTAGGATTCATTTGAATCCTGTTTCACTCAAAAATATGATGTTTTGAGGCATGAACCAATTTATTTAAGTTAAGTGTGCAATCTGTCAACTAATGACAGATGTGTGCATGTAACTTTAAGGTGTCATATATTCCTCTTAACTCATCCAAAATGTGTGATTTTTAGTTTAAAAGTTTCGTATAAGTGTTAAGTTTGCAATCCAACTTGAATTTCAGCAGAACACCTAGTAGAACTCTTTTAATGAATGTTTTACTAACATGATGTAATCTGCCATTTCAGTTGTGATAAGTTGTATTGCATAAATTATTTGAATCATCATCGCATGCCCAAAATACATGAAATTTGGTCAAGATTACTATAACTCAGTGCTATAAACCATATAAAAAGATGGAAAATTATCTCATTTTTGAAGTCTCTTTATTTTGATCATCTTTATGTATCTTAAGTTTCTGTCCAGGATCAAGATTTCTGGATTGGTTGAATTTGTAAAATTTGATCTTTTATTGGATTATAGCATCATTTCCGGTATAAATTAATTCATTAAT